CGACAGAATCTATGGTGGATGCGAAGTCATCAACAGTTTTTCCTTCTAAATCCCTAACCATGATTCCGGTATAAATCTACTCTGGCTACAGTTGGAAAAGGAAAAAACTTCTAATGAAACCGGGGGTAGTCAGATCTGAAAACTTACTGTTAGAGGAGAATGTGACCACTCGCCTTTCGAGTTATAGCTTCCTAGTGTTCTTCCTGAATCCTGATGGCAAATTCCCTGGTAATAATGTCGACGGGGCAGTATGTAGGTGAAAGCTTGAATATTCCGGCGAAGGCAGTTGAAACACTCTGACGGGGAGGAGAATTTGAGTTTTTGCAAAGAAGGAAAAGTGATAAGTGAAAGGGGAATGATAGAGCCTTCTCCTTAAAAATAAAAATTGTTCTCCCACGTCTCCCTAATTACAGCCCACGATATGACAGTTAATGCGAATTTCAAGGGAGTAATGATGGTGAAGCCGCCGTTTGGGGAACGTGCCCACTAATAACGCACGATTAAAATTTTGGGCGGGATAAGAAAATGGGTCACCTTCCTGGGTCAAGACCTAACCCGCTGATTACCCTTGGGCTTCCAAGATCGAGAGTTGTGCGTTATAGTCGAGGCTACCTGACGCATCGCTTGACAACTAGTTGAACGAGAGTAGCCTATCCACTCTCAGGTTTGTCCCAGGTAACTTTGTGCCAAGCGTTATTTATCGTATATAACTAACACTTGACAGGGGCACTTGACGAGTCCATATCCGTCACCGAGACTGGACCAGCCCATCAACCAAAAGGAGAGTCCAACCGGGACTCTTGAGGCAGTTTAGGTTCCCGAAACCTAATAGGACTCAAGGATTTCCTAGGTATTCTCATAGCTATAAATAGGATTGCTCATGCCACAATACAGGTACGCAATACATAGCTTAACATACTACATACCTAAATCTTTCAGCAATCCTTTATTGACTGAAGTATCGGAGCGTCTACTCTCGGGAGATCCCGAGGCCTGGTTTTACAGGAAACCCTAGCCGGAGTTCCACCGTAAGACTGGCGGCGCGAAACCAAGCATCGCCAATTGCTGCCCAGGGAGAGAAAAAAAGACAGCATGTCAAATTGGGGGGAAAAAATGATGTTCAAACCCCAATTGTTGGTTTCAACTACATTGAAACAGGTGGCACTTTCAAACAGAGGGGAAAAAAACCAAAAAAATTATTCTCTAATTTATACGGTAGGGGACATGATAGCCGTGCAATCTTTATGATTTTACTATAGCATCGGAACATGAAGAAAAATAATCTTTTAGATTTCATTTTTGCTGGGTCTGGGCAGAGGAAGGGGCGTTTGAAAAGGAACAGCCGAGAAGAAATATACAATGGAAAGGTATTAAGATGGGTAATTATGTACTTTCACACTAAATTTGCCCTGGATGCTAAAAGTTGAATCACCCCTTTTTAGAAAAATATCCACAATAAAGATATTAATAGACTATATTTGTTGTAGACTTGTAGTCGATTATTCATCATGAGTGGTTTGATTTTGCGCGTTACAAAATGATGAGTTATTATACTAAAAGCATTAAGTATAGAAATGTAGCTGCACTTAATGTGAGCACACGCACACAATTAATTCATTGCCCCCACATCCGTTTTTTTTCAAACATACAGTACACGACCCTCAGACAACATTCCATATGAGCATCCCTTATTTTTAGGAATTGGGTTTTAAAAATTTGTTTTGATCTTCAAATGATTTTATTTCATAATCCATAAATAATTAGGCCAAGTGTCTTATATCATTTGATAGTACTCGACGAGATCTATCCAATAAGATCCCTCATGAATATGTTTTTCAAAATTTAAAAAAATTTATTAAATGATATTGGTCTTTCTAAAAGACACTCTGGTCTTACTTGTTGCTCTTAAGTATTTTGTGAAAATAGTTTCGTCTTTTTAGTTGCTGCTGTAGGTCTTGACTTTTATGTATTTACCTTGGTCTTCCCGAAAGATATTTTGGTCATTCTTATTTATACTATCGGTCTTTGGTATTCCATTCTTGATCTTTGACTTTTGGTCATTGGTCTTTGTTCCTCACTCGTGCTCGCTCTTCACTCTCGCCTTTAGTCTTCGGTTTTTTGCTCTTTGACCTTTGGTCTTTAGTCTTCGATTTTTGTCATTTTCTTCTTTGCTCCCCACACACGTTCACTCTTCATTCTGGTTTTTGCACTTTAGTTTTCGGGTTTTGGTCTTTGGCCTTTGGCCTTTGGTCTTTGCTCCTCTCACATGCTCGCTTTTCACTTTGGTCTTTGGTCTTTGGTCTTTGATCTTTGCTCTTTGGTCTTCGATTTATTATCTTTGGCGTTTGGTCTTTGGTATTTGCTCCTTACACACGCTCGCTTTTAATTCTGGTCTTGGTCTTTACTCTTTGATTTTTGATTAAAATTTTAAACCAAAAAAAAAAAATTAGTGTGTTTAGGGTTTAGGGGGTTTAACCATTTCCGTGTTGGTTATGGTCTAGTTGTTTAGGATTTAGGGTTTAGGAGGGTTTAACCATTTCCATATCGGTTAGGGCCTAGTTTGGTCTTTTGACCATTGGTCTTTGGTCTTTACTCCTCATACACATTCGCTATTTATTCTGGTCTTTGGTCTTTGATCTTTAGTTTTTGGTTTTTGGTCTTTACTTTTTTGTCGTTAGTCTTTGTTTTTCACATACGCTCGCTCTTCACTCTGGTCTTTGGTCTTCGATGTTTGGTCTTTGGTCTTTGGTCCTCACACACGCTCGCTCTTCACTTTGATCTTTGGTGTTTGGTTTTTTGTCTTTACTCTTTAGTTTTCGGTTTTTAGTCTTTGGCCTTTGGTCTTTGGTATTTGTTCTAGGTCTTGGTTCTAAAAGACACAAGTAACACCATAGCGTCTTTTAGCATGACCAAGCCAATTACATAAATCTTTTAAAGTTTCGAAATAAAAAATATTCATGATGGATCTTGCTGGATAGATCTCATCTAGTACTATCAAAATGGTATAAGACACTTAGTCTAGTTCATTACGAATTAAGAAATAAAATCATTTGAAGATAAAATAAATTTTTAAAACCCATTTCCTAAAATTAAGGGGAAGGGACATGTGCATTGAAAAAGAAAAAAGAAGGTATGTTAAATAAATTACATATGAAGTCCCTCAATTATTATATGATTAAAATAGGATCTAAGTGCACTTAGCTAGATGCACCTTTTTATGGGGGAGATATCGGAATGGACGTGTGTGAGGAGCGGCAGATGCTCACGTAGCTTTCGGTTAGCGAGCATTTCGGCCGCTTGCGTGGTCCTTTGAATATAAATTGGAAACCTTTTTATGGGGGAGGTATTGGAGGGGGCGTATGTGAGGAGCGATAGATATTTCGCAGTAGATACTCACGTAGCCTTCGGTTAGTGTGCTTTTGAGGAGCGGGCGCGACCCTTCGAATATAAATTGGAAACATTTCTTCAGGGGATATAGGAGCGGGCGTGTGTGAGGAGCGGACGTTTGTGAGGAGCGGCAGATACTTCGCGGCGGATGCTCACGTAGCCTTCGGCTAGCGTGCTTTTTAGCCGCCTGCGCATCTCTTTGAATATAAATTAGAAATCTTTTTTGGGGGGAGATATCGGAGTGGATTTGTGTGAGGAGTGGCAGTGTGTGAGGAGCGGCAGATACTTCGCGGCAGATGCTCACGTAGCCTTCAGCTAGCATTTTTCGACCGCCTGCGCGGCCCTTCGAATATAAATTGGAAACCTTTTTTCGGAGGAGATATCGGAGCGGACGTGTGTAAGGAGCATGCGTGTGTAAGGAGTGGCGAATTTCAAAGGTTAATATGGTCTTACTTCCTGGTATTAATGGTCTTCGTTCCACTATATAATTTGTTTTATAGTTTAGTTATATAATTTCATAGGTCTCGCAACAATAATTTGTTTTATGGTGTTACTATATAAAATTTTAAAAGTCATGTATTGTAATTCATGTTATGGTCTTGTTATATAATTTAAAGGTTGTGTAGTATGTTTTATATGGTCTTATTGTATAATTCAAAATTACATTAAGTAAGAAATTGGAACTAAAATGAAAAGAAATAAATTGCAAAAGAAATCTTTATATTGTCTCATTTTATAATTTAAAATTATATTAAGTAAGAAAGTAGAACTACAGTGAAAAGAAATAAATTACAAAAAAATAAAAACAAATGAAGTTTTCCATTGTTAAATAATCAAAATAGAGGTTAATTATATCTAGATAAATGCACAATATCATAATTATAAAAAAAACCACTAAACCAAAAAAAAAAGTCTCATTAAACAAACCACTAAAAAAAAAAAAAAAAAAATCCAAAAAAATCTCCTAAAAATCCCCCCATAAACCAAAGACCAATGGCCCAAGACCAAGAACCAAAAACCAAAGACCAGTAATACAAACAAGCATGACCAGAGTGTCTTTCAGGAAGACCAAGGCAAATACGTAAAATTCAAGACCAATAACAAATAAAAAGACCAAACAGTTTGTACAAAACACTTAGGAGTAACAAGTAGGATTAAAGTGCTTTCAGCAAGACCAATGCAACTAAATAAATTTTTTTAACGTTTTGGAAAACATATTAATGAGTGATCTTGTTAGATAGATCTCATCGAGTAGTTACAAATGATATAAGGCACTTGATCTAATTATTTACGGATTAAGAAATAAAATGATTTGAAAATTTAAGAAATTTTTAAAAAACCCACATAGCAAAACAAATAATTAAAAAACCACAACCTACACATTAAGTGCGCGTGGGCAGGACTCACGCGACTCAATGGCACGTGCAATGAAGGTCATGCAATAATTTCCGCAAAATATGAACAGAGATGAAGGCGAAAATGACGGATACGGGTTCTTCATGGTGTGCATACACCAAAAGTACAAAAGGGAAAATAAATATATGCTTCAATTTTGATAATTAGTGAATAATTCTATAAATAAAGGCTTCAGTTCTATAGATGGCTACTTCGTCATGTTTATGTGAGGCTGATTCTACAAGTAAATAGACTCTTTTTTTATCAAACACATTTTGTCACATATCCTCTGAACCACTAAGAAATTTTCGTTTCTTCTCTTTTCTGTCAAAAGAACAATCAGAATACGCGATCGCATCAATCTCACGCGATAAACTTAGATTGATGTTCATCACGAGTTGGAGTTTGCGCGTTATGAAATTAAACAGATTAAGACAGAACAGATGCGGATAAAAATAGGCTCTAATTTTTATGATTACTGAATAATTCTACATATCTATACGTATGTCCGTCATATGTTACAAAACATGTATTCAGAAATCAATAGTGTTCTAGGCTAATTTCACTTTTTCACAAAAATTTCTGGAGGACATGGGGATGATGGTAAGGGTGTGAAGTGTGAGTCCTGTACTTTCTCTTCTGCAAGAAACGTTGTAAAGATCTCTTCATTGCAAGACCCTGAAACGCCGGCAGCGGGGACGGCGATGGGCCTTTGAAGGACGGTGATCGCTGCAACGGCGAATCACAAACTTGTGGACAAATCGAAGATGGGCTGCAGCGCCCTGCAGCTGAAGAAGCAGCTTCACCACCTAAGCTTTCGTCGACTTTTTCGCCGTTTGCGAGTAATATGATAGCGCTAACCTGAACATGGAAAAAAGCATCTTTCATTAGAACATAGAACAGACTTTTAGTACCACAAGATAGTCAATTGTATAGCAAAGAAATCCAAAATTCCAATCGATTTCATATTCTATAACCAACATAAAACTAAAGTCGCCATAGATCCCATAAAACATACCTGAATCTCAGTGGCATCACAAACCGCAATCTGGCCGTTGTAAAAGATAGTTACTTGCTGTTTTTTCTGATCTTCCATGGCTTCGTTTAACATTTTGGATTTGGATCGATGATTGTTGAATTGATGATGATGATGATGCAATTTGGCAATAGCCCACAAAAAAAAAAAAAAACCCAGCTTCCAAAGATTCAAAGAGATCAAATCAGAAAGAGAAGAAAAAAGAAGAAGATTAATGAAGCCTGACCTTAATTAATTGGACTTGAATGAATTTATACATAGTAAAGAGAAGAAAGAAGAAATAATATTAGCACGAGGGGATATGGAAAAAAAGTACTTGGAACACGAAACGCACACTTTCTACTTACGGGTAGAGAGAACGAAATGTATAAAGGAAAGAATAATAATTTGGGATTTGGGAAAACGTGGGAGAAAATTTGATTATTTAAGCACGTGGAAAATGAGTTTTCGGCAACTTAAGTGGTCTACTAACAGTTTCATCATGGTCATTTTCATCGCCACTAATTATATAGTATTTGCGGCTTCTTCCTCTCCGTCTTTTTACGACTAATTTAATTAGTAATTTAGTCGGCTATCTGCTAAATAAACACAACTTTATAAGGCTGCTTTCTGACTTGTGTGCTTTTGATGAATCATTATCGTGATTGACTTCACGCTTCGTTATTTTCTATTGTCATTCATTTTTTTAAAGATATAATAATTCTAAGATAATATTAAGTAGAAACATATATACCGTAATAAAGATATAATAATTCTAAGATAATATTAAGTAGAAACATATATACCGTATCAAATTCGGATTTATTCAATTCGAGTCAAATCGATCAATTTAATTAATTTTCTTGTCATATAAGTTTTCTTAAGATACTCAATGCCGATAAGTGTATCTTGTCATAAAAATTTATACTGTATCAATCCTAAAAAACAAAACATTAGCTAGTTACGTTAGTACAGATTTAAAAATTTAATGTGATTTTTTTTTTCCGAACAGTTGTTGTGTATAAGAATAAAAAGAAGTGACTAAGAGCCAATGTGTTTTCAAGTATCAACCCTAACGTGATTCGGACTACTAAGAAATAAATAGCCAACGTTTTCAATGAGGTAAAAGTAAAAAACAAAAAGAAAAAGAAGAAGAAATCATTTCCAAAGGTGGTGTTTGCCTAACCGATAGTAATCTTTTATAGCTTACCCAAAAACAAATACTCCTATAATTTAAATGTCGTTTTTTATATTCTCTTTCTGTCCCAAAATTATTATCTAATTTAAGATTTTATTTTTAATACAATTTAAACTAAAAATAAAAATTCAATCTGGAGAATAATTATGGGACGAGGGAGTACCTTTGAAAATGCGGGGCCGTCCATCTTTTTTATGTACTGCGTGCAACATGCTACTAGTGTACGGAAATGGAAAAACAAGCTATTATTCTGAGATAAACATCTCTTTCCAAAAGTGTTGGGATACACATCAACAAAAACACAACCACACACTTTCATTTCTCATTTAATACATACATCGAGTTCGTTGTTTTATACATATACTAGCATTGGTTGCACTGCACGAGGTGCGGTGTTTGTGAGTAATTTATCCGGTATAGTGTAAAACTCAATTACTTTGTGTTTGATCCGCTGTATTGAATTACTCATTACTAACTAAATCAGTAAGGGTAAAAATTAACAAAATAAATGATAACTTGAAAGCACTATTAATCAGGTTTTTCTTAAACTGTAGGTTTTTTCTATATAATTACATCCTCTATTAATAGGCTCGTCTTGCTTTGAATCCTTTCACGAATCTGGGTATGCCATCCCAATCAGATTCAATTTTAATATTAACCAATCTTCCTTCTAATTCACCCGCCAAAAACTGACTCTGTTGCTCCCCACTTGTCTGTTAATAGAGAACGTGAAATGTTTACCTTAAAAGCAAAGAATCCACAAGTCCTTAAAATAGAAGTAGTACCATTGCATAAATGAAGGTCATTCATGCAATTTGCACCACCATCTAAAGCAAGTCTTGGTTCATTTTTAGACACTTCCTCTTGCAATCCTTCGATATCTTCACTTCGGATATATATATATATATATATATTGATTTTTCGCATTAGCAAGTGCATTAAGTTCGTAAAAAAGAATAAATCAAAATTTTTGCAACATCAAGGGTGCAATAGCAGTATTTTTTTAGAGGCTAAAGTTAATTTTCATTAACAAACACTCTTTAAGGTTCCATTATTTTATGTAATTAGTAAATCAATACTCTGTATACACCAAAGTAACCAGCTCTAAACATCGATAAAATATATAGCAATTACCTTCTAAACCACACATTGATGCATCATCCTTACTCATATTAGTGGCCTCCAACCTATCATCACACACTAATACATCATAATGTTCGTAATATCAATTGCATAGACTTCAACAGAAACACACAAAGAACTAACATAAACCTATTCTGATTAATTTTTGCAGCAACCAAATTTGATATCAACAAACCGAAAAATTCAAAGCAAATTCGTACACTGTTTCAAACATATAATCAAACGCTTTATATGTAACCAAGTGAACTCCAATATATTTGACGGATAATTCAAGGTTTTAATCCGAAGTGATAGAAGATGGGAGCAAGGACAATAAATCTGATAATTTTGAAAATCAAAAGCACACGAACCTCCAGATATCTGCTGCTTAATCCTGAAATTTCTTTTGCTTAGACACAAGACATATGGAGGCATTATGATCGGAGTGTGGTACTAGAGTGAGACTTTGTTCTAGGCGTTGGTCTTCACGACACAGCACAGAAAAGGGGAAAACTGACAACGGCAAAGAAAAATCATGATACGAATCTTGAGGCAAAGGTGGCAGATTTACCTCGACGCAGAAGCTATGAATTTTCCCAGGACTTGAAAACTTGCAAATCCAATATTATGGACTCCAAACTCACGAAAAATAAAAGGAAAGAAGAGATACAAATCACAAAAATTTTCACCAAAAAGGGATGGAAAGGTTTAGAAGATGTAAAAAGTGTTTAAGGTTAGCAACCCAATCGGTCACCTCTCTAACAACCCTATCCCTTCGATTTATGGATAGAACGGCTAGCGAAAAGGCTCCAATGAACAATTAACAAAGCTCCACAAGTAGAAAAACACCTCTTATACTCGCATACATCAACAAAGCACAAGTTTGTGTGCAATGCACTAATCTTCGAAAAGAATAGAAAAAGAACAAAGAGTTCCCTCTCGTCTCATATTGAAGTATCAAATTCATCAAAAGTACAAATGAAATGCTGGCCAAGCAGCCCTATTTATAGTAGAGGGGGCCGAAAATTCTCCTACCAATTAGGAGAAGAGTTTGATCTCTTAACTCTATTTCTACTTTAAAGAACTAGAAATCAACTTAATATCTAATTGACAACTTGTGTCTTATCTATTAAGGCAATGTATCTAGACACCTTTATAGACTTAAGATACACTAGTCTAATGAAAATAAAACTCCAAATACAAAGAGATATTCTCTCAAAAGAATCTTATCCTTATCTTGAAAAGAATCTTCCTGAGTTGTCAACTCTATCAATATCTTCTTTGTAGAGTAATCATACCCATCCAATCTTGATCTAATCTCCATCCAACGCTTGAGAGTAGATACCAAGGAATAGACTTCTTATTTTAAATAAACTCTAAATTAGATAAAAGAGAATCATATCAAATCTTATCCTTCCATGTGATAAGATTTAAATGATCTTATTTCCAAAAGATAAGAAATCTTCCAAATCTTATCCTTCCACAAGCGTGATAAGATTTAAATGATTTTATCCCTAAAAGATAGAGATTCCAACTCCTAAAAATTAGGAGATAGGGCCGGCCTCCCTTGCTTGGTTTGTGGGCCGAAATTTTCTTCCTCAAATGGGCCTTGTAACACATTAATAATCTTGGGCTTGTAACTTCCAGACTTGACATTCTCTTGGGCTAAACCATTTGATATAAGATTATTAAATGCACTCCTCATCCTTTTACTTCTAGCTTGAGTCATTGGGCCTCCAATGTTGGATAATGGATCTTGAGCCACTCCTTGAGCTGGGACAGTACTTGGAACCCGAACACCTTGATCATCTTGGACTTGATTATCATGGATGTTCACATCAAATCACACCATAGAAACCAACGGTCAAATAAAAAGAAAGAGGCGGTCCAATAATAAAGTGTCACATCATCCAATCCAACCTGCAACTTGGCTTTAACCGTGCACAAAAAGTGCTTGCGCGCTTTATATAATGTAGATGTAGATATCATTTAAAATTATTTTTTTTACTCTATTTTGTTTGTGCATAAAACAAATTATTTGTATATAATATATTAAATAGCCAATTAAAGAAGGCCATATGGAATAAATCATTATCGGATCTTGATTCTGGTCATACAAGGTGATAAAAAAAAAATGTGGCCCCAAGTCTTTCTTTAAGGTGCCTCGTCATTGGGATTTTTCTTTTCTCTCGTTTTTTGTTTTCCATTTTGTTGACAGCCGATTTTTACAAATCTTTTTGATCACAAAGATAGCTAGGCTAGCCATGCACCTTTATGTATGACTGATTAGATTATTTTGATGCACACATTTTGTTATGCTTTAACCACTTTCTTTATTTCTAAATAATTGTTTTAAATGTCTAAAATTAATTAACATGATGTTTTCTTAGAGTGGACAAAGTGATCAGAAAGACCTCGTTTCATCCATGAAAGGAGAGAGAGAGAGAAGCTACATCTCAATTAATGAGAATTAGTAAAACCCTATGCATCATCTTTCACATTTTACAACCAAATAATTTGTTGAAGACATAATCATATTTCATTAACTGTAAATTCTTATTTAACTTATTCCATAAACAGCTAAATAATTTTTTTCACTCTTGTTAATTTAGGTTTATGAGCCAGACATACACACACATTACAACAAAAATGAGCAGTTAAAATACTTTTTTATGTCTAAATAAGTGACGTAATACACATGATAAGACGTTTAGCAAACATCCTAATACACATGATAAAACACATTTTTAAAAAAATGTCTCACAATAAATATATTAATAGCCTATATTTGTTGTGATCGATTATTCATCACGTGTGGTTTGATTTTGCACGTTACAAAATGATGAACAGAGATGAAGGCGAAAATGGCGGATACGGGTTCTTGATGGTGTGCATACACCAAAAGGACAAAAGGAAAAATATATAAAGGCTTCAATTTTGGTAATTAGTGAATAAGTCTATAGATATATGTCCATCATATGTTACAAAAATGTGTACATAAGTAGTAGTATCTTAGGTTAATTTCAATGTTCACAAAAATTTCTGGAGGACATGGGGATGATGGTAAGGGTGTGAAGTGTGATTCCTGTACTTTCTCTTCTGCAAGAAACGTTGTAAAGATCTCTTCATTGCAAGACCCTGAAACGCCGCCAGCGGGGACGGCGACGGGCTTTTGAACGACGGTGATCGCAGCAACGGCGAATCACAAACTTGTGGAGAAATTGAAGATGGGCTGCAGCACCCTGCAGCTGAAGAAGTAGCTTCACCACCTGAGCTTTCGTCGACTTTTTCGCCGTTTGCGAGTAATATGATAGCGCTAACCTGAACATGGAAAAAAAGCATCTTTCATTAGTACATAGAACAGATTTTTGGTACCACAAGATAGTCAATTATATAGCAAAGAAATCCAAAATTCCGATCGATTTCATATTCTATATCAAACATAAATTAAAATCTCCGTAGATCAATAAATATACCTGAAGCTCAGTGGCATCACAAACCGCAATCTGGCCGTTGTAAAAGATTGTTAGCTGCTCTTTCTTCTGATCTTCCATCGCTTCGTTCAACATTTCGTATTTAAATCGATCGATGATGATGATGATGATGATGATGATGACGATGATGCAACTTGGCAATAGCCCAGAAAAAAACCAGCTTGCAAAGATTCAAAGAAATCAGAAAGAGAAATAAAAGAAGATTAATGAAGCCTGACCTCAATTAATTGAATTTGAATAGAATTTATATATAGTAGAGAGAGAAGGAAATGAATGAAGAAATAATATTGGCACGATGGGAATTTAAAAAGAAGAAGAAGAAGTTGGAACACGAAACGCACACTTTCTACTTACGGGTAGAGAGAACGAAGTATAAAAAGGAAGGAATAATAATTTGGGATTGGGGAAAACGTGGGAAAAAATTTCATTATTTAAGCACGTGGAAAATGAGTTCTCGCTTCCGCCAACGTAGGTGGTCTACTAATGTATGACACAGTTTATCAACGTCATTTTCATCACCACAAATTATACATTTGCGGCTTCTTCTTCCGTCTTTTTACGACTAATTTAATTGATTTAGTCGGCTATCTGCTTTCTCTTATTTTTGTTCTTGTTTTTTTGTGTTTTTTTTTTGTACAGAACTTTAACGTTGCACTTTGTGATTTGTGTGCTTTATGAATCATTATCGTGATTGAATTCACTTTTGTTATTTTATTATTATTACCATTTAATTTTTTTTAGATATAAGAATTGTAAGGTAATATTAAATACTTAGATAAATATGTATCACATTCTAATTAATTCAATTTGAGTCGGGTCGATATGTAATCTAATTAGTTTTCTTGAAGTACAAGTTTTCGTAAGATACTTAATAACGGTGAATGTATTTTATATAAAAATTTATATTCTATGAGTCTTTAAAAAAATAATTTACATTAATATAATTTTCAAACCTTAATATGAATTATTTTTTCCTGAACAGTAGTAGTACATATGAAAAAAAAATGTGACTAAGAGCCAGTGTGTTTTCAAGTTTCAACCCTAACGTGATTCGTGACTGCTAAGAAATAAATAGCCAACGTTTTCAATGACTTAAAAGGAAACAAAAAAAAGAAGAAGAAATGAATCATTTCCAGCGGTGGTGTTTGCCTAACCCAAGAAAATAAATAGAAAATGTCGTACTTTATATACCTTTGAAAATTCGGCTCCATCTACCTTTTTATGTACTGCGTGCAACATGCGACTAGTGTATGGAAATGGAAAGACAAGCCTATTATTATGAGAGAAACTTATCTTTCCAAAAGTGTTGGGAAACATATCAACAAAAACACAACCACATATTTTCGTTTCTCATTTGGTATCGTACTTCCTTAATTCGATAATAAATATACTCCCTCTGTCCCATAATTATTGTCCAGTTTTACTAAAAAGAAAGATTTTATTTTTGGTCAAATTTAACTATATTTTCCCTTAAACAACCGGATATATCCCTACATAAGTAGTTGTTTAATCACTAAAATTTTATGAATAATGTTTCTTACTAAGGACAAATGTGTAACTTGATCCATAAAAAGTCAAATTGGACAATAATTTTGGGACAAAATTTTTTGGGCAAAGTGGACAATAATTATGGAATGGAGGGAGTATTATTTCTTTTGTACTCTATTTTGTTTGAGCATGAACCAAATTATTTTTATATAATATGTTAAAGGGAATAAATCATGATCGCATCTTGATTCCGATCATACAAGGTGATAAAAAAAAAAGGGAGTTCAAGAGATTAATACTAATATTTAGTAAATCAATGTTCGATATTTGTAGACCTAAACAATGTGGGCCCAAGTCATTAAGGATCCTTTTGATCACAAAAATGGCTAGGCTAGTCATGCACGTTTATGTGTGGCGGATTAGATTTATTTTGATCTACACATTTTGTTAGGCTTTAACCACTTTCTTTATTTCAAAATAATTTTTTTAAATGTCTCAAATTAATTAACATGATTTTTTCTTAGAGCGGACAAAGTGATGAGAAAGACTTGGTTTCGTCCATATGAGAGAGAGAGAGATTTCAATTTACATCAAATTACCTTTTTCTTTATTAAACAATTTCCTATTTCTTTCACATTCAGAAGTTCTTTTTCCACCAGTGATGGGAAACCCATAACCCTATACATAATAAATACAAAGGCTGCGGTCTTGGATCTCCTAACTCTTGCCCTAAAATCACCAAAACTCGCCGCAGCCTCCCGAAGATGGCAATATTGCAAGAGAGTTTGGAAAACTTCAAGATACAGCAAGAAAGATGTCAGGCCACACTTATCAGCATCACAAAACAACAAAATCCAATCATATTCTCAAAGGATACAGAAAGGCTTCAACAGATTAACAACATAAGGGAAGGTCCGGTTGGGGCTCAGATCAAAAGAGTTATAGACTTGCTTTATGAGAGAAGACAAACCCCGGATCCGGAGGAAATAAATCAGGGATGTTACGTTGATTTGAACGCAAATAAGACAGTCTTTGACAGTTTGAAGAAGAACCCAAAGTTGAATTACGATGGCTCTAGGTTTTCTTACAAGCCTAACCATAATGTAAGAAATAAGGATCAACTACTTGACTTGATCCGCAAGTTTCAAGAGGGCATTGCTGTAGTTGATCTTAAGGATTCATACCCTAATGCCATACAAGATTTGGAGTTATTGAAAGCCACTGGTCAGATATGGATACTTTCCAATTTTGATTCAAAGGAGGATTTTGTTGTCTACCCAAATGATCCGAGGGTTCCGATTAAAGTTGACGATGATTTAAAACTATTGTTTCGAGGAATCGAATCACCCCGTGAGATGCTCGATATTGAGAAGGATCTTCAGAAGAATGGCATGAAACCTGCAACAAACACAGCCAAAAGAAGAGTCATGGCGCAAGTTCATGGAATATCCAACAAGCCCAAGACTAAAAAGAAGCAGCAAATCAGCAAGAGGACCAAGCTTACCAATTCTCATCTTAAGCACCTCTTCCAGTAATCTTTGTATATCCGTGGAGGAGATTGTGACACTTTCAGGAGCAAAGCATGGCTCCTCAATCCTCATCATAAATCTTTATATTTCCTCGTCCCAGATAAATAGTTATTTTTCAAATTTGTACTAAAACTAGTGCAAATCTCGAAACTCAATGTAGACTATTTTTTGGGAACAAGAAAGTGTAATTTTTATTCATCGGTGACATTAGTTTGTTGATGATTTGTCATTTAGCTTCTGAATTACAGAACCTGATGATCCAATTTGACATGTGGTCAATGTTACTTAAATTTGTATAGTGATTGTATAACACGCTAAAAAATAAGACATGGGAATATAATGTTTGGTTTTAGAGAGAGAGAGATTTCATTATTGATATAAACTATTTTTTTGGAACAAGAGAGTGTAATTTTATTCGACAACACTGAAAACTACTTCTCATTTGAAGAGAGATTTCACTATTGATATAAACTATTTTTTTAGAACAAGGGAGTGTAATTTTTATTTATCGGAGTTATTTTTTTCAAAGAAACCTTCTTCTTTTTTTTCAGTATTTCATCCCTTATGTACATATTTTCAAACTTCTTAGGCAAATCTGTTTGGTGAAAGAAGATGGAAAGAATTGCAGCCGTTCCAAAAAAATAGTCTAGTATAGTGCAAATTTCACTATTGATATAGACTTTTTTTAAAAAAAAATAGAGAAGAAGTAGTTTTCAGTGTTGCCGAATGAGAAATCTGTTGGTGGAAATATGGGTAGTATTCGCAAAGGCTAAGAAAAATGGAAGAAGAAAAAAAACCGAGGCTCGTGAAAACACGATCTCCTTAAAACAGATTTGCCCCCTCCTATAGTACTTGAGGATCTTGAGCAACTGTTTCCCAGGATACAATGGAAACGTAGAAACTACTTAGCACAAAGAAGTTCTACCAGCGAACGAAACTTAGAACACGATGATGAACACCAAAAACTAAAAGAGAAGGAAAGAAAGGCTTGAAAGAATACTGATAGAGGAGGAAGGATTGGTGTGTTGAACTTTGGAAAATGAGTGCCTATTTATAGGCTGGAGAAACCTTTGAAATGGCAGCAAAACTTCAAACGGTTTTGGTGTTTTAATTCTGTTAAATGTCACGAATTCATGGCACATAAACAGCCAAAACGTTTTTGACAATCAAACAGTCAAAAGAATTCATTCTGCCATTTAAACAGTATTAAATCCGCCATTCATTTGCTCATTCAACAACAATGTTTCAGTTTTTTCCTTTGACTGAAATGAATGAACATAAATCTCCACATTAAAATTTTAGCTGAAAAAAAAAATTAATCTGAACCGTAGCAAAATGTGGGTTGATCAGGCCCGCTAGAGCTCGGTCCGGCATTCGTGTCCGCAGGTCGTGCGCACACATGAGTCAGGCTATTTTGGCCCCGAATCGGACCTCCATTTGCACCCCCCCTGCGCGGGCGCACGCGAGCGGGAGAGATGTGGTATAGTATTGGCAAGTCATCTTGCAAGTCAATTTTGGGCTCTCACTTATAAAGTGAGCTCCAACTCTTCCCAACACCCATGTGGGACAAAGTCCCTTAGCATTAACTCTAATTTTTCCAACTCTTGAGAAACTTAATTCTCATTCACTCTACTCTTTTCCAACAATCCCCCACATGAATGAGATATTGTTTCGATTAACCAATGATGGTGTTCACCAACTGATCCCTGCATAGAGAAAATAGGTTTTAACCTTTGAACTTCCTCCTTGTAAAGTATGTTTGCCTTACTAGCTGTCCAGTAGACATGATGTCCTTGAACTGTCCGGCTGTATTGTGTAAAGAAACCCACATACCGTACACAGGAACTATTTCTATTTAGTTCCGTTCTCATGGTTTTGTCCATTTTGGCCATGAACACATCCTGGTTCTGCAAGAGTTTCTAAAGAACTGAGCCTTAACAGTTCTCCTTTGAAGCGGCCCTACTTCTCTCTCACATAGGTGACTTCTTAAGTCTAGAGTAAATAATATTACTCACTTAAGTATCATTAAAGCAACCGTTTGCTATCCTTTTCGTCATATCACTGTTTGATGACAGGAATGAATTGAGGTTTACCCCCACAGTGACCACACTAAGTCTTATGATTAGGTTGTCCCATTGAACCTAGATCTTGGGATCTCCAGTCAACTAGGTTGGGTTTTCCTTCTTAAAACTTTTATCTCTTCAAAGGCTTTACTCCCATTCCTTTGGTCAATCTTTCAACTGCCTCTCTATTCAACCCTTTGGTTAGCGGATCCGCAAGATTATCCTTTGACTTCACGTAGTCAATTGTGATAATTCC